CACTTTAGCTACTTTCTAAGGTGATTTTTTAGTTCAGTGACATAATTATGTACATGACTACGGCAAGTGCATCTTTTCACCCCGTTGGAATGAAATGGTCAAAACCCTGCTGGGATTGTTGCTTTGGACCTAAGCCACGCCCCATCTTCTTCAGTACATCTGATCGAGCTGATCAGTCAGTCTGGAGTTTTGCTGAGCCCGTGGGATGTGAGCAGATCGGTCTCTCGGAAATCGAGAGGGGAGTTTCCCGAGGTCGTTGCGGACGACTAGGCGATTAACTCTACGTGCTAGAGGGCTCCCCCTGACTCCGAAGCGTCGCCCGATGCGAGCTTCGTTCTCTTCACACCAGTTGAAGAGTGGATCTTTCCCCGTGTGGAAAATGGTAGTGCAGTAGTTCGCACAAGAGCTCATTTCTTTGCGTGACTACAAATGCACGTTGGCCTAAGCGTGGTCTCACGCGATGGTCGCCCTTCTGTGTTCAGAAGGAAGTGTACGTTTGAACATCCTCAGCGAGAAGATGGTTCAATCGTACAAGATGGCAGGTGAATTGCGGACGTCCCTTTTCCCACGCTTGGTTGAAGTGGTAGATTCTAGCACCTTCTTGTATCTTGGTTGGTTCACTGCCAATCATCATTTTGTATGTAGTCGCAAATAAATGGTTAATTACGAAACGTGCGCAACTGTAGGCTATTGGAAATGAGTAATCGCCACGGTTACGCCCACAGATGTCACGAAACCGTGGACATGTGGTTGTATGGGTTTCCAAATTCAACATCTGAGTACTCATGCGAGGCAGCCCAACAGTCGATTCCAACATAGCGTATTTAAAGCCATAGATCGTGATTAGGTACCAAGAGGTAATTCCGTTCAAATTCCATATGAAAGAGCGGTACCCAAGCTCAGGGGCCGTGACACTGCCCCACTCAAAAGTGCGTAGCGAGGGTACACTTCCACTTTTTCTTTTCTTCTCTTTTTTTCGCACTTTTTCTTTGTTCAGCTTCTACGCACAGTGTACATCTCTGATTCTCTCATTCACTCCAGTTGAAAAGCATCTATATAAAAGTCCCTTCAAATATGATTACTGAAAACAACAAGTAAAAAAGGTCAAGGCATCACAACACAAGATAATTGCTGGAAATGTTCGCAACAATGGTATTCGACAAATTCTCCATCAATACATAGTCCGTGGTAATGTAGTTGTATACTGACGGTACGGTAAATGAGAATCATGAGGTAGAGTGCTTTTCCATGGCCACGATTGCGGAGGCAAGTTGGTACCGAAGTTTACCGAATTGATCCACATCAAATTCGAGTTTCTCGCCGTCCAGCTCGAGTTCAGTGATCACTTCCAAACTTTTCTTCACATGGCTGTTGCCCACCACCACATTCACGCTCCAATTAAATGGCTGTTCTTCGGGTCGGTCAGTCTCGAGGCGATTTGCAACGAATGCAGTTAGTGGCTGTTTCACCTGAAGGTAAACATATCAACGATGATGAAGTGTAATACAGAGAATAGTTGCAAGAAACAGAGGATACAAATTCGATTACAGGTTTTGATTCTTCGTCTGTTCACCGTATTGACAACTACAGTGACATGACTTACTTGACACACCAAGTAATCAAGAAAATCAAAGGGTGGGCTCCCTTATAAGAACGCTAGGCATTGCAGTCGTTGCTGGAGTGCAACGATGTGAATTATAGCATCTACTTCTCTACGCTCTAAAAAGGGAAAGGCGTGAGGTGAAGCGACATTAGCTCGATCAAGTGAATCAGTTCCGACACTGCAGTAGAATAGATAAAGAAGCTGCTGGGATTGAGACGAGAAAATTAACAAATAGGAATGTGCGGCTTTAACGTTATGATTCCTTTCTTTTAACGGAAATGGCATCGTTGTTGTCGAGAAGTGCACGATGCTCAATAAATTGAACGAAGCAGAAAGAAAGTATTAGGGTCCGAAAGACTGTTCATGAGTAATCTGTCCAGTCACGGTCATTCCATGCAGCAAGGCCCATCGTATTTCTATCTTGAATTTTCCTAGGTTAGGAGAAGCGTTTAGGATATTTGCTGGAAAGATCACGAAAGCAAGTTTGGAACCAATTTTTCTGTCTCTGGAGAGTTCTCGCGTACCGTTAATGGATGAACTTCACGTTTAAGTCACTTCACCGTGCTAATCTGTTTCCGCCTGTGCCATGCTATGCGGCCAAGACAAGTAAACTTTGCATTAAAAAGATGATTCAACTTCCTCACGAATCGCTCGACAGATGCTTTCTGATACTTGTTTGGTTCACTAAATGTCATACCGGGCTTTCCCGGGGTTACCACGTCCGGACTCTGAGAAACTTATCCCTCGCTTCCTTGAATTATATGGATAAATACCAACGCTCAGTTATGTACCGCACGGGTTTTTCACAGTTTGAACCCACTACCGGCCTTTAATTATGATAAAGAGCGCGATTGCAAGGTGATATTAGAGAGAATAATTCAAGAAAATCTCCGAAACGAACCTTCTACAGGGATCCTGCTCGTTTCACAAAATGAGAAAATGCCTCTGAGTATGCAAAACAGCTTCTGAGAATAATGCAGCTGAATGGACGTACGATCTTTGAACCACAAATGACAGAAACGAGCTTTTTTTGCTGGCGCTTACAGCCAAATGGAAACGAGGCGTAAGTTGCACAGCAAGTGATTTGAAAAGGCTCAAACCTCACTGCGGGGAATATCTCCTCTTTTATCTCCCGTACAGGAAAGCATGTGAGTAATATGTTGTGCAGATAGCACTGCGTGAACAGAGTGCCAATTCGGAAGCTACGTCATCAATGTCAAGTGTCGTTGACTCCAACTGTTTCTTTTCGACTACTAGTCGCCAAATCACTGGAAAATTTTATCATTTTCGTTATTCGCAAACTGACCGAGAGCATCTTCCGAATATTGTTAACATTTAATTACACAATTATTTTGTAGTGTCCACCTCCGGGTTTTTCAAAAGGCAGTGATTACGATGGATTCAGGAAGGGTTTATAGGAGACTAGTGGTGATCAGTGGTACGCCGGTCGCGAAAAAAGCAGAGAAATCCGTCAAGAAAACGCAAAACGGGACCCCCTTTTTTGGCCGTTAGTTTTTCCACTCATGGACAGGAACAGGTAACAGCTCACAAAGCGGGCGTATGAACGAGTTCAGCGCATTAACCGTTTGGTGACAGCATGTCAATGCCTAATAACCTTCACCGGGAGTTGCTCCACGTTGTGCCGCACATGTCTAGGCAACGCAGCTCCGTCCAAAATCACCACTAACACAGTGGCTCGGATCGATTTTGGGGCGAGCCGAGAGTGCTTTCCGAAGTCCTGCTCAACAAAGCAAGCAAGCGAACAAATTAGATCGGCCGTCCAAAGCAGAGCTATCAATCCCTCGCTTACCTGGCAGCAAAGTATTAGCTGGATTGCGAGTAAGGTGTACCCTCACTCCTATTTCCGCAATGCGCTCCTACTTTATCGTAATCGCTTCCTCTAAGGAACTTGTTCCTCAGGAAAATGAGAGATGGAGTTAGCAGGGCTATGGCGCTTTTAATAAGAAGCTTCAAATATGGGAATCGGTAGTTATTTCGAAAAGCTTTGAGCCTTCCTTGGACAGTTTAACAGCCTCTAGATACTTGATTACGTTGACGTCCTACAGTGTCGCCTGCTCGGTCCACAACATAAGCATACTTTATAGCGATTATCTTGGAAATGGGATCAGAACTAGAACCAACAGAAACGCAGCGTTCCTTCCTCAGAATGATGTCCATCACTGAGCACAGGCAATCTTTTCATAAGGTCTCCTGCTAGTTTTAGAACGATGGGTGAGGGGTGATGAACCAGGAACATTTTGCTCGATTAAACATGTGCCGCGGTCTTGACACTGAGATCAGGCATCAATTTAAATGCAATAGGAATCGGCAACTCACTGTTTATTTCTTCTTGAACAGGCATTGATTTGATGCAGGACGTCTTCGTCGCGGTCATCTGTTTGATATTCTATGTGAGATTCTATGTGAATTTTCTAGAGATATCAATGTAATGTACATTGTTTCAGACACGAAGACGATTATGCTATGTATATTTATTATACGATAGTGCTATTGATCACAGAAGTAGCAATGACCTCTTCAGCTGTCGATACGCAAGCACTTGTCTTGTACGATGACAATCAGGTATCTAACTGCAATTTCGACGCTAAATTTACGACCGATCCATGTGGTTTAAATGAATGAAATTCATGTGGATAACATCAAGTCAGCGTTTGCGAAATAGTGAGGAAAGCAGAAGTTAGAAGTAGAAGTAGAAGCCTCTGGGGGTTGGCGGAATATATGTGGTTCGTCTGAGTTAGGAGGCGAAACGAACCACAATTTACGTAATAATAAACTCCTCCCAATAAAATATCCTTTCTTCTTCTATTAGATAGCAAGGTTCACTGGCCGTGTTCAGGGTTATAGCTGACTATCATGTTACATGTACACCCCCCTCCTCCAACCACTCCATTGCTCCATTTTGGGCAGCAGTATGTGTAAGTTTCCTCACAAGGTGTCGGGCACACCAGCTGCCGTCGTCGCGTATTGCCGACTAGCGATTCCCGCGAAATATGGTGTAAGCGAGAAGTTCAAAGCACATCACGATTAAAGGATGTGCTCATTGTGCTCTGAATGGAAGTAAAAGTGCGGAGGACCTCCCAGTAAAAGAGCCATGGTTTTTTGAAAGAAGGATTCCACGGTGAGAACGATGGTCAAGGAAGTGAAAGTTGTCCTGTTTGGGAAACAGGCGAACCTCTTAATGGTGCAGACCGATGCGCAATTGGCAGCGAAAGATTTGACCCCGCGATCTAGCATGGCTCACTCTTGGCGCATTTGACGTAGTACGCCCACCGACACATGTAGCAGAGAGAGCATTGGCGTTGAAGAGGGCACGATGAGAGTCGCATCAATGCGGAAATCAACGGGCAAGGAATGGGGTCTCATTTCGTGGGTTCTGGCCGTTTCTCATGGTTTTTCCTTCTTCCCTGTAAGTCTAACATAGCCGTTGAATGGGAGACCGGTGTCAGACTTTGTTCAGTGATCCACTAGTAGCGAGCTAGTAGTCTGCGGTGTCGCTATCACAATCGCTCGATTCGCGAAGTCTGACACGGGCCGAACGCATGCACTCCACTGCATACTAGTCAATGACAACGTGAGCAATAGGAATGGTTAGCGACGGCTGAAGTTACAAGCTCTAATCCTCGCACACTGCGTCCGCTGCATATATGCTGGATGAATCTCTCAACCATATAGGTGGAGCTATTCGAAAATGCTTCGCATCTCTTCCTGCTCACTAGAAAAAAATGTGAATCGGGTTATGGAATAAGAAAATAAATGAAAAATGTAGGAAATAATTCTCACTGACTTCATCAATCTTTCACTTTGCCTACTTACTTTCTCTGTAAGATTTGTTTAGAAAAAAAGGTAAGGGTGGTTGTTAATTATATACTCATTGTAGACTCCGCTAAAACGATTCTCAGCACGGGAGAAGTCGGTGACAGTTGGCTCATTCGTAATTCACCTGAAACAAAGCTGGAATGAAAATGGAGTTGCCGGTGTTTTGTGGGACTCGGTTAGTAAATTTATTAAACTGGTTATCAATGCTAAAAACTCCTCACCTGCCTTTCAAATTTCACGGACCGTCGCCATGGGAACGTTCTACCATCCTCCGATATCCAGTTCATGTCACACAGAACCTCATTTCTTGCTTGTATTGACGACTTTTTCGAGAATAAGTTCAGCACTTCGAAGTGAAATGATAAAATCTAGAAACTTTAAAGGCAACATACCGGTTTACCTCCAATCCGCACCTTTTTAAGGCAATCGTACTCTCTGAATATCTCGTCACCCATCCGGATCTTGTTCGTGGTCATCGAGTACTCGAGTTGGGTGCCGGTCTCGGACTGCCGTCCATCGTTGCTGCCAAGCTTTCTGCCAAGAGAGTAATGGCCACAGATCAGCCTTTAGCAATATCATTGCTCAGGGAAAATATCATTGCGAATCTGCGTGAAGAGGAAATGTCGGCTGTTAGTATCGTACCGCTAGATTGGGCAACTCTTCCCGAAGAGCCTTTGTCAGCAAACATCATTTTGGGCGCTGATTTAGTTTATAACGAAGAAGTCTTTGAAGCCTTGAGAAAAGCGATTATGCAGCTGATTACTACTGATAATTTTATGTTAATGGCGAGCAAGATTCGCTATCCTAAGGATAAACGCTTTTACGAGACTCTGAGAGATGATTTTGATGTAACTCAGGTACTTTATGATGATGCTACCGATGTGATATTGTATA